TTGTGAAGATTTATATTAGGGATTTATTATAACTTGTGGGGAGCACATAAACCATCTCTACCTGGAAGTGATGACTGCGTAGTAGTTTATTCTCTACAGTACCTGCATTAACCATCCCATTTGACTGTGCCAGTGATAGGGTACAGCACAATGCAAGCAACTGGGGTGGATGGCAGTAACCCTTCTCCAACCATACTGTGTCTGGGAGATACAGTTTGGTTCAAAGCATAAGATGACTCCTACCTTTCAGAGAGCAGAACACTGAGAGTGGAAAATTCTGAACTGTTACGTGGCAGTAACCCTTCTCCAGCCATACTGTGTGTCTGGGAGGTACAGTTTGGTTCAGAGCATAAGATGATCCCTACCTTTCAGATAGTAGAACACTGAGAGTGGAAAATTCTGAACTGTTACACAGTTCTCCAGAGTCTTTGGCCGCTACCCCATGCCAATGAGGCTACTCTCTAGCAAGTCCATTAGTCTTCCTCCTTGTTTACTGCTGGCTGACAGGTGAGGTAGACTCTCTTTAGCTACTCAGAGGTTTCTATATCCCATTGCTCATTTCTCACATTATTTGCTTCGCCTTTCCTGTGTTTTTCTGTTTTAAACTTTGGTCGCCAGACTTAAGAAGTGCATAACTTGCCTAAATACCTAACTATATTTAATATCCCATGGTGATAATAAATTTTAAATATGTATTATTTTAAGTTATGGTATTAAAATACGTGACATTCTTTTATTGAGAAAACACAAAGGACACAAGAGGAATTTTCATTTTTGAGTTGAAATGTTTCTTGCACGTGGTACTGAGGCATCTCAGATGCTGTAAAAAGAAGAAGTGCATAAAATGCCTAAGTACATAACTATATTTAATATCCCATGGTGATAATAAATTTTAAATATGTATTTTTTTAAGTTATGGTATTAAAATACGTGACATTCTTTTATTGAGAAAACACAAAGGACACAAGAGGAATTTTCATTTTTGAGTTGAAATGTTTCTTGCACGTGGTACTGAGGCATCTCAGATGCTGTCAGGGCAGGGCCTTGGGTGTTGAATGCATCAACATGATATGTGTGGATGTACAAAAACGCTTTCCACTGCGATGGCGGCTGGTAAAGAAGAAGAAGCTGCTCTGGGGAAGAAAAATCCTTCCCTGTGAACTTGTACACTGCTGCTAAGAAGTCAACATGGTTCTTAAATAGGTCTTTTGTCCATTTCACCAGACAGGATTTGTAAAAGTTACACTTGGGATTTAGCATCCATTTTCCCAGTAGTGTTCCTCTTTCTTTCCAGCTCACCAGTTTAGGATTGCTATTCCTGTTTTATTGATATTAAACATATGAAAGGCACATTATTGATAATCAACTTTACTAAACTAATGAATTTTTTTTAGTCTACAGGTTTAATACACATCTAGAAGTAAGTTATGAATCTAGAAATATAAGCAAAACTCCAGAATACTTCCCCCAAAATTTAATTCAATAAAACGCTTTGATCAATCAACCCTTTCCTTTCTTCAGCAAAAGTAAATGAATGTTTTTATGTCCGAATTAAACTAAAAACTTAATTGAAGTTTCTATTGAAACCTAGTCCTGAATAAAAGTAATACCAATGGTGTCTTTCTAAATTACATCTAAATACTTACAAACTTTTTTGCATATAATTTTGTTATTGGGCCAATCCACAATAAAAACTTACATTTGGAAATTTCTATAGGTAAATTATCAGTTTAAGTAATATAGATCCATCAGGATTCCGCAGTGTCTTTTTCTAGCACTTGTTCCCTTTGGTTCAGTTGCCAGATTGCAGCCAGGGCTCATAATGAAGCAATTCTCCAAAAGATCCAAGACCAGATAAGAGACGGAAGTTGTTGGTAGGGAGAGATTTCAGGGATATAACCTCCAGGAAAGATACTTAAGAAATATAGCTTATCTTTTCAGTATTTTTTTAAAATATATTTTATTGATCTTTTTACAGAGAGGAAGGGAGAGAGATAGAGAGTTAGAAACATTGATGAGAGAGAAACATCGATCATTTGCCTCCTGCACATCTCCTACTGGGGATGTGCCCACAACCCAGGTACTTGCCCTTGACCGGAATCGAACCTGGGACCCTTCAGTCCGCAGGCTGACGCTCTATCCACTGAGCCAAACCGGTTTCGGCTTTTCAGTATTTTTTAAAATAAAAATAACACAAACATGTATGTATTTTACCTGGTGACTTATTAGGACTAAGGTTTCCAACTTACAGCCTGAATTATCAGGAACATAAGGAGAAAGAAGAGAAATCAGTATGAAAGGTCAAAAGATAATGAAGTACAAGATTTGAATGAAGTAAGGAATAAAAAGATTGTTTTTAGTTGCATTTTCTAATACAGGTCAGGCAGACTTCAAGAGGATGCTTTACACTTACTGGAAATAGGCAAAAGGAGAAAATATACTCCCAGAAATGGGTAAATCTATTTCCTAATATTGTGATCAGTGGTTACAGAGCAGCAGGAAGTCAGGAAGAGGCCCATTAAAAAATGTATTTAGGATAAACTAATGTACATCCTAGAGACTATAGTTAATAGTACTGTGTTGCATATTTGTAAGTAGCTAGGAGAGTGGATCTTGAAAGTTTTCATCACAAGGAAAATAAAAATGTTTAACTATCTAGGGTGATGGTTGTTAACTGAACTATTGTGATCATTTTGCGAAATACACAAATATCAAATCATGTTTTACACCTGAAACTAATATAATGTTATATGTTAATTATTCTTATGTCAAAAATTCAATGAAAATAAAATAAGACAAGGGTTTATAAGTTAGACTTGGTTTGAATCCCAATGTTAGCTGTGTATCTCTAGGCAAAGTATCTAATATATCTGAGCCTCATCTATGTTCTCTGTTAAAATAATGTAATAATAGTTACAATCTCATAGGAATACTGGGAAAACAAAGTGAGGTAATGCATTTACCATAATGCCTGACATATGTAAGCACTAAATAAATAGTAAGTGACAACATTTTTGCAAATATCAATTCAGTAAGATTTCAACATACCTTATATTTGGTGGGTACTTAAAATATACAAAATACTTTCAAAATCACATTTTACTCTTATCTGATGGCTCTAATGTACATAGGGCAAATATTAGCTCCATTTTATTGTTGAGAAAACAGGCTTAGAGAGAAAAAAGTGTATTTTATGAGCTGTGGTACCATGAACTATTTATCATCAATTCAGTAAGATTTCAACATACCTGATATTTGGTGGGTACTTAAAATATACAAAATACTTTCAAAATCACATTTTACTCTTATCTGATGGCTCTAATGTACATAGGGCAAATATTAGCTCCATTTTATTGTTGAGAAAACAGGCTTAGAGAGAAAAAAGTGTATTTTATGAGCTGTGGTACCATGAACTATTTTTCTCAGCTTTCTGTATCCCCAAGATGACTGTATAATTGAGTTAGGCAGATACTTTTTGATTGTCAGAATTTATAGAAACATTATTATATATAGGATTACTTATGTAAAAATTCTTTTGCAGATATTGAAAATGAGCCAAGAAAAAATTGAAATATTTGTAAGTGAGTTGTCAGAGGAGAGAGAACGGAGAAAGGAATTGACATCTAATAATAACACTATACAGAAGGCTTTAAAAGCTGAAAGTGAGGTATTTTGTTATTTAGGATGTTGTTTTCCTCTTTTCACATTTCTAATTTAGGGATTTCATATTGTCATTTACTTTTTATTTTAAAATAAATAATAAATGTAGAATATCTATATATATATAAAAAGGCAGCTACCATAACGGCCATAATGACCTAACAACCGGTTGCTATGATGACCACTGT